GATCAACTATAAGGACCAATGTCGGTTCGGATATATATATTCAGACCGATTTCCTATATATCCGGACCGATATTTCGGTTCGGAAATCCCATTCCTGCAGTAGTGCAACAATCAATTATTCAACTAGAAACTATTCTATGTTTTTCAAAAATATTATAATACCAAAAGCTTAAATAAGAGCATTATATTAAGTCAAATAAAAAAAAAATCATCAATTCCATTTGAATATTTTTATAGTTTTAAAAGACTCAAAATATGTAAATTATTTAAGTTAGTCTCTTATGTTTATAAATTATTATATTGTAATAAATATATAATATAATTTTTAATTCTAAATTAAAGACTTGTGAGTATGCATATGAGCTCTAATTAAAGAAAAGCTTTCTTTGTCCAACCCTTAATTGTCACTCCTTCACTTTAACATGTATCTAGACAAGATTAGTGACCTCATTGTTGCCTAGAATCCTTTAGGCTTTAGTGTATGACGAAAATAAGGACGGATAGCGACATAAGAATTATTCTAAAGGATTATTTTTTATTTTTGGAAAGAGGGGAAAGTTACTTTTCCTTCTAGGTGGATTTTTTTTTTTTTTTTTTTGAGATAGTGTAGAGAAATTAGTTAAAGCCTTTGGTTCTTCAAATAGCTAATAGCTACTACAACCTATAGGAGGCTTTTAATGGCGCTCCTCGAAGTCTTTTCTTATATCATTGCTGACACTTAAAGTTTTATATTATTGTCTAGTGGTCCAAACTTATCTCTTCTACATTTAATAAAATAGATTGCACCTTATCTCAAAGGAATCCTATGACATCATGGTTGATGCTACATCCTATTTTTGATTGCTTTGTGACATCAGAGTTTATGTCTCTTTACATTAGATTCTTCAAAGGATGATAAGGTCTTCTTCTCAATCTAAAGTGCTTGAGCCTTTATCACATGTTGCTTTAATTTTACCTTTTGATGATTCCCTCTTTGTAGTAAAAGCCACAATTATTGTTATGCTTTAATAACTTGCATAATTTGTTGTGAACTACTTTGTTGGTCAGGACTAGATTCTTAAAAATATCTTTCCTTTTTTGCCTTATATTGAACATGATGATGTTAGTAATTAATTTTTCTTTAGTGGCTAACGCAAATTTCATTGGTGAAGCCATAAGTTCACGCCATTTTCACCTCTAACATGCAATAAAAATTTTTTAATAGGACTTTAAATCAAAGGGCTATTCTTTCTTGCATGAATTGTAGTTAATAAAGGGATTCTTCAAAATCCTAATTAATTTGATCATAGTTTCCCTCTATTTTGACCTACTTGGATTGGATACTAATTTGAACTATAGGGTAATTGGGAAAATACTAAGACTTTTCACACTTTAGTGATGCAAAATAAACTTTGATGAAGACTACACCTTGTATCTTGGTGAGGCCTCTTATTGCTTTGCACATTACTTCTAGAGTTCTAAAGTTTCTTCATTATCTTTTGAAAGATAAATACAATTTATAAAATCATAGTAAATTAATTCTTTAATTGCCATTAAGTTTAAACCTTGCATAAAGTTAATTTTAGGACAAATCCTTTCATGGCTAGGATGACAATTCTCAGTAGTCGAATAAAATTTTCCATTCTACAGTTTTTGTTGTATTCCTGCATATATTCTTCACTCATTGTCATTTTAGATTGGGCATCTATTGTAATAACTTTCTTTTCTTTTATTGCTTGAGTGATTAGGTTGAAAGTTTTAGTTTTCAGCATTTGGAATGAATAGCATTTGAGCTTGAGATGCTGATGATTCTAGAGGAGTATATTTGACATAACAATCAAATTTTCCTAAAATTTCTCTAGGCAACCTTATTCAAATCTTTGCTTTAGCTCTTGTTGAGGGCCTTTTTTGCCACATGGTAAGATTCTTTAGAGTTGGTTTTGAATTTTGATAGTAGTGATTACTTTGAATTAGACTTAACCAATTTCATTGTTTAGAAGTTTAAAATTTTATTCTATATTTTTTAATCAATGCAAACATAACAAGTGTAGAGTTGTAAACGAATTTAACAAAATTTTAATCAAGTCATACACAATGGTATGGAATTGAAATCATGGAATTGAAAATGAAAACTTTTTAATTGTACCAAACATTAGGATTGTTTACACCATAAATTATAAATTTATTTGATGATATTATATATCATATTATTTAATCAATTGGCTACAGTTAAACCATGTCAAACGTTTTGCAATTGTGATCTAAAGTATGAAAAACCACCAAGATAGAAAACATATGAAATGTCAAATATGTATATCTAATAACCACCTCGTAATTATCTTATGTCATTTGAGTTTGTCTCCACACTGACCATTTTAAAAGGAAGTTGCTAGCCAATTTGAGCAAGTTGATGAAATGGCAAACATGTAACAAATTCTAGTGCATGTTTTAGCTAAGTCTCTGTTGTTGACTATTCAATCAGATCAGGTGATTAATCACATTCTATAACAAATGGATGTGGCTAGTTAGCAACTTTCTTTGGATATTTAAAAGGAAAAATTCAAAATATATAATAGACAATCAACCTTATACACAAGTTTTGTATTCCAGTTTTCTATGCAATTGCTCAATTCAGCTTATATATCTCAATTTTTAGCACAACTTTCAATTAGATTTAGTAGGTTGGTTTTGGTTTCTCAATTAGTAAATCTAGCTCTTGTAGTTAGTTAAATATTGATTCTTTCATCTAGTACATTGCTACCTTTTCAATTCAATAGAGGTATTGCACTTCTTCAATTTATATGTTGAGTTGGTATTTGTGATAAGTATCATTTCCTCAAATGTTTACTTATATGGTTTTTTACACTTTTCATTTGTTCTCAAGTTGAATTCAACCTTATTAGTCTAAACATCATGATTGGTTAATTTTTCTTTAAGTTCAAGCTCATTAGTTTTCTAATTCTGTGACGACTTAGTTTGATTTGCAAGTAGTCTATATTCTAATACGTCAATCTAGATTAAGTTTTTTACCAGGGTGTTTTTTTTTTTTTTCATTGTTCTTTTAATTAGCTCATTTTAGTTTACATTTAATTCGCTTTATTTATTTTGGATATTTAAGCTTCTAGTTCACTATAGTGTTTTAAAGTCTTTAGAGCTACTCAAGGCAGATTCGTAACCCATTTGTAGGAAGGCATCCTTCTCTCTTGCAAATCATTTGAAAGCACAATCAATTTCACAACTAGCATTCATCCAACGATCCTTATGGAGCTTAACCACTCAAAAGGAAAGGGTCATTGGGCAAATTTGATTTTCTTACTTTACAACAAAGCAAGTGGCATGTCATACACTCAAGTTTGCCACACATGAGGGTTTTTGAGGAAACAAAGACATTAAATTAAAAATGAATTCCAAACTTTTTTGTAGAATTCATTTTTACCAAACACACCTTAACATTTTTTTGTTGGTTAAGGCTGATTTGCAAATGATTCTAAGTATAGGGGTATTTTCCCACCAAATAGAGTCCAAATAGAGTACATTGGTGACACAATAATATAAGTTCTAGGTTTTATTTACATATTTTGCCATCTTGGCCTTGTTGTTGAAAATATAGAAATAAGGCAAGTAGTTTGGTTTGAGGTCAACTATGACAAAAGAAATAGTAACTTGATAATGTTAAAAAAATAAATTATAGCATTTGTTTGTAACTAACTTAAGTTTGAGGTCAATTTTGAGCTTGATAAACTTATTGAAGTTGATGAAATTGAAGCACCTTGACGCTCATTGGGCTCCATTCCTTTATAACCATACATTTTTTTCTTTTTGTTTTTAGTTTGGATGATGAGGGTATTTTGGATGAAAATTCATGCATTTTAAAACTAATTATCTCTTGGATGATTTTAAGGGTACATCATGATATTAACTTGATATATATAAAAAAATTAATTTACTTAATTGATTGAGTCAAGACTTAATTCTAAACCTAATTTACAAGACAATACTTTTTTTTATTAATGGATCCAACCCTTAGGGGTTTTATAGCCATACTTGGTATTAATGAATTGTGTCTTCCTCTAGCTTCATCTCACTACTAAAATTTTGGCTTTTAGCAACAATATATCAACAACATGGGATTGTTTGCTGTTGAAAATATATATTAGCAACATAGGGCTTATTGCTGAAAGTTCTTTCGTATGCCTCAACCTGAAAAAGCAGCCCCACTTTCAGCAATATACTTCATCTTGTTGATATTTGTCGGTGAGTCCCTAGGAATGTAATTGAGCTATACTTTTCAGCAACATGTTCCTTGTTGCTGAAAGTGAATTTCAGCAACAAAAGCTATGTTGCTGAAAACCTTAACTATTAGCAGCATATATCTTGTTGTTGTTATTTTTATCTTTTTACCAACCAAACATCAGCAACAAGGAACATGTTGCTGATATTTTTTGATCGGTGGTTGGCCAAATATATATATATATATATAGGCCATCTGCAACCACATGGGAGCATCACCACTTCCACTTTCAGCAACAAGGGGTATGTTGTTGCAAGTGAATTTCAGCAACATGCCCCTCGTTGCTAACATTTTTTGATCACCACACACTAGCCATTCCACTTTTAGTAACATGGTTTTCTTGTTACTGAAAGTGAATTTCAGCAACAATGACCATGTTGCTGAAAATCCTTTGACTAGTAGCTCACCCATTATATATACACCTTTCCATTGGCAATATATACACACCTCTCACACTTCTCAATTTCTTATTATTTCTCCCTTATCCTTGCAATTTACTTTTTTTATCCTCACATAATTATTTTTATATTATAATTTAAAAGTACTAATTTTTATAAATTTCAAAACTCTTTTTTCTGTTGCTTAATGGAGAGTCAACAATATTTTGATAACCAATTGGAAAGTCAAGAATATTTTGACAACCAATTGGAAAATCAAGATTATTTTGACAGCCAATATAATGGTATAATTTTTTTTTTCCTTCCCTTATTTCTAATTTCTCATTCGTGCACCCCATTTACTATCATATTACTTAACTTTATGTTATTTTACATAAGAATCATTGAGGATACTCCTGAATCATTATGGAATTGCCCATCTGAAAGTCCTCCCAAGAGGAAGTTGAAAAAAGCAAGAATAATGTATCAATTAACCAACACATTCCATTGCCTAATACTATAAACTACTCTGTTTGTCAAATATGTGATACTCTTGGACATTTAGTTACAGTTTGCCTGCATTGTTATGCTGTAACTTGTCAACTATGTAACCGTGAGGGTCATATTGCAAAAATTTGCTCGAATCGTTATGGATCACCATTTTTGTCAAATCCACCCAAAACCCCTGCTGAGTCCTCCGAAACAATTACAAAGATTTTTGGTAATGGTAGGCATCTTACATTTGAAAAAAAGTATTGTGATGCTGCCGTTCAAAAATTACGATCCATTCAAGAACCATAATATCATTGTCTTACTTATGCTCTTCAATTTTTTTTTTTCCAATTTCTCTTGTTTTCTTGTGATTATCTTATATATTTTGACATTACAACATTTATTAATGATTTCTAAGTATTTCTCACGTTGATTGTTAAGAGTTTGCATGAAATTCTTTTACTTTTTGAACCACATAGTTCAAGAGTCTAGTCTTACATAGCAAAGTCGATTGTAAAGGACTAAGATTCGACTCTCAACATAGAGAGTTGACTATTTGAAGGGAAAAGATATGGTACTTAACTGGGATTTGGTAGTCGACTCTCCACATCATAGAATCGACTCTTTTGATTTAGAGTCAACACTATGATGGAGAGTCGACTCTAGGCTGAAGCAAATTAAATTCCTGCATACTAGAATTTGGTAGTTGACTCTTCATATTATAGAGTAGACTCTGAATCCAAAAGAGTTGACTTTATAATGGAAAGTCAACTATAGGTTGCAACAAATGCATTTCCTACTTACTGGAATATGGGAGCTAACTCTTGTTGCTTGATAGTTGACTCTTATAAGCCTGAAGAGTCGAATGTAGGCCTATATTCGACTTTTCAATCCATTTCTATTGTTTTCCAGAATTTGCTGTTATTATTTCCTTTTTTTTTTTTTCCAGCAACATCAACTATGTAATCTATATTAACTAGAGTATAAGACATACTTCACTATTAACTATGACCATTTAAACAAATTTCAAAATCCTTCTATACACAATCACAAATTGTAAAAAATACTAATGAATATTAAAACCACATGCACATCAAACTTTAAAACCACAACCACAAATTGCCATTCAAGCATACTATGGACTACCAACTTGCTCACTATCAATGGAAGCACATCAAGAACATAATCAACCAATACAAAATCATCACAATTATGCTATGCTCATTGATGTTAAAAATTGCATTAAATTAAACTGCATTTAATGTCAATATTATATATACAAATTCAATATAAAAAGTCAGAACATTAAGAAAACCTTCCAAAGAGTGTTCAAATACTAAAACGATAATTTAACAGCCATCAACAACTGCAACGGGAGGATTTATGCTTTCAGATGTGAAAAGGGATCAATGGGTTGCTGTCCAGAGAATGTACCAGCAGTAGATGAATCTCCTCTTGTCCCTCGAGGACCTATAGGTGCTGCCATCTGACCGTTGCGAATGTGATCATCGATCTTCGATTCAATCCATGCAAGTCTTTCGAGAATGAGCTACATTCCTCTCTATGTGGTTAATCTCTGAGGAACTTGAGATGAAGCAGCTTGTGAGGGACCTGTTTCTTCAGTTTCTTCGGCATGTTCTTCATCATCAAACCCTTCACCTTCATCATCTTGTCCTCCTCTTCTCCTTTTCTACTTCATTTCCCAAGAATTTGTTCTTGCACTGAATACATACCCCATTTTGTTCAATCACTGAATACATACCCCATTTTGTTCAGTGAACTCTCATTCAGAAGCTCGTGACTGTGTAGGTCTCGGGACTCCATACCACGCAAATCAACACTCACATTTTCCATAAGTAATGTGATGAGAGTGCCATACACTAGTGCAAGTGTCGATCTACCCCTATAATACACCATTTGTCTCATAATATGGTGACCTAAATTGATCCGCCTCTGATCAAGAATATATACAAACCACACACAATCCGAACCACTAAGTTTCCCAAAAGAACTTTGCCTTGGCAAAATTATGTGATTGTAAATTCAAAGCATTAACCGATTCTCCAAATTCAAGTGGTGAATGGTTAATGTTTGTCCCTCATTGTACTCATCCCCCATGATAAATTTCTTTCCTGATTCCTCTATAAATGCATTCAATTCGATCGCTCCCTCATTTGGCAAATGTAAAACATCATTTATGGTTTCAGCATCAAATTCAAAAGTTTGCTTAAGAACTATTGTTTTATACCCTCCATCCTCCGAATCACTCAAATTTGCATAAAAAATCTTTATCAATTGTGGGTAAACCCTCACCTTTCTACTTACTAATTCAATCCACCCCATTGCATCTAACATTTCTCTTATATGCAGCCCCCCTTTGCATATATCATCCAAAACTACTCTAAATCCATAAATGACTTTCCTATTTCCTAATTTATTATATGCTTCTACAACATTTCGAGATACAAAGTTTTGAGGGTTATTGGGTTGAAATACCTGCTCAATGTTTGTGCTTTATGTAATACCCCAAAATTTCTAGAGCATTAAAGTGTGGGTTAGGGACCTAATTGTGAAAAAATATCATTAATGAATGTAATAGAAAAAATTTGCAAAGTTCAAGGACTAAAAAGAAAGGAAATTAGGATAAGGATCAGCTGATATTTTTATTCCTTTTCTTCCCAGCCATACACGTTTCTGCTCTGCTCTTCTTCTTCGTGCAGCTCGACAAGCTCCCCCGCCCCAGCCACTGACTTCTATTTCTTGAGAAAATTGGTAACAGGCTTGATTTTTCCCTTCCTTTTCTAGTTAAAGAACTGATTTTAGGACCTAGAACCCTCCCTTTGAAGTAGGAATTTCCAGATCTGCCCTGCTCTTCCTCCCCTATCCGCCGGTGTTGCTAGGTACGAATTTCTGGGCATTTCTCTGGTAAGATTCAGCCATGAATCCCTCTCTTTAGCCTTGATTCAAGTTGGGTTACTCTAATTTCCTTTTTTTTCCTTCAATTTTGTGTGTGTTCTCTCCAATTCTCGCTAGCCCTCCACACCGCCAGCTCCGGTTTCAGCTTGCTGGAATTTTCTGGTACGATGGACAGCTTCCTTTAAGTTCAATTTAACCCATTTAATTGCTGAAATTATCCATGTAATTGCTGCCCCTGTATTGTTCAAATTTCTGCCGAAATATGGAAGAATTTGGCAGCATTTTAAACGTGTTTTTTAGCTTAATTCATGTAGAAATAAACCTGTTTTTGGCTTGAAATTAGCTGCTGTTCTGTGTGGAAAATCCTGCTGTTTTGCCAAAATTTTACTGTTCACGCGCAGAACTATTGTTCACGCAGAAAATTCTGTAAATTGTTGCTGCGTTTTTCTGCATTTTGCTACTGTTTTTCCTTTCTTTTTCAGTCTATTCTGCTCTGAAAATCTGGTGAAATATCCTATTTTCTGGTGTTTTAGTTTGCTGTAATTGAATTATGGAAATATCAGTTATTGTTCACGCGCATTGTTCACGCGCACTTCATACATTGAGTTTTAATTATTTGGAGTAGAAAATCCCGTGTGTTAGTGGCAGTTTTGCCAAAGATGGAAAATTGAATAAAAGCCATGCTCTCCATTGTTTGCCCGTGAGTTTGGGAAGCTATAAATATATGTAAATGTGTGTGTATTTAATTGGTATATATATATGTGTATACCTAATCCGGATTAATGCTAAAATTCGGAAAGAAGAAAAGAATAAATAAATAAATGAATATTGCAATTTTGGGGTTTTGGGGTTTTGCTGGCAACAACAAAGAGGATGAAATGCTAAGTTTTATATGAGAATAAAATTAGAGGTGTTCGGTCATGAGAGATTGACATAAATTGCGATGTTGTGTTAATATTTGATGTTGTGTTAATATTCTAGCGAGGTCTGAACATGTTTATTTGGAATATTAGGTGCTGTTGTGGCTTAGAGCTCTGGGGTCGAGTTTCCTGTTTTATGCGAAGTGAGGTAAGTAACTTATGGTAATGCCCTAGATTTAAGGTAAAGTTTTTAAAAGCAAAATTTTGATGGTTTTGAAATAGTGGCGGGACTAAACCCGTTTTACACGAGCATGACTAATTTGAAGTGAAATTTTTATGCTTTTCATTAAATTGAGCATGCCTACTTGAAATTTAATTGATTGTCCTGATGATCTGAAAGTGATTGGTGAATTATGATTTTCCTATTAACTTCTGCCTGTTTTGTTTCCGATATGGTCATGTTATTCGTGTGCCCGCTAGTGGGAGGTTTATAAACGCTAGCACATGTCGACATGTTACTGATAGAACTGATTCGTTTCTGTTATCCTGCTAGTGGGATTATACACTAGTAAATCGTGTGCCTATTTGTGGGAGGTTTATAACACTGGCCATGACCTATAGAGGAGACGTCTATTTCATTCCGTACTGTATCCGTTTTTCTGATTACACTTGTTGGCATGCTATGAGTTTAATTATGGGCTATCCATATGTTACTTACTGAGTTATATCACCTCGTTTTTCCTTGCCCACCATTTCAGGTAGTATGACACGAGACACAGAAATCAAGGGGAGTGACGTGGTAGATGGCTAGCCACTTGAGATTTGACATAGATTCTAGATATATATACCATGCTCTTGTAAGTTAGATTTTAATTGGAAATTTTATGGTATCAAAACTGATTTTGTTGAGTAAGTTTCGAGCCTTGTGCACTTGTGAGACCCGTCTCACAAGTGTACGGCGTCTATTACGCCCTTGGATTTGGGTTCTGGGGCGTGACACTTTCACCGCTCTCCTCAAGACTTTGCTCAACCTTATGACGCCTTTCAGACGTGCTTGCTGGCTGCCCCCTTGCTTTCTTTACAACTCTTTTAGTCCTCACCATTTTGGGGGATCATGCATGAATCTTAGAGGAATGGGCCGAAAATGGTGTGGGTTTGTGTTTGGGTGAGTTATTTTGGTGAAATTTGGGAGGATTTTGGTTGGTTTGAGTGTTAGGTTTCTCAGAGAGTCCAATAGGGGAGAGAGGGAAAATGGGGAAAACTGAAACTGCCGTGGTTTTAATCAAATCTCGCGCCAAAGAGTCAACTCTTCTAAGTAAAACAGTCGACTCTAGCAAATAATAGTCGACTTTGAATGGAGAAGTGTT